CGTTAGCACCTTCTATGTGCACATCGGAATTTCCATAGCGCATTAGATGAAGCTATAGAAATATGCGGATTCGGGTACGGGATGGGTTCCACGTTGGTCGGAACCTACTATAACCTTAAGAGTAGCAAAACAAAGAATGTGGGCGCCACCAGCCCTACTTACTAATCAAATATCTCGCATATACTTTGACTATCCCTCTTTTCTTTACACCCAAAAATTATTGTAAGAACGACATAAATATTAATAAATCTGTATCTATAGCCATAGAGCAACCGGTGAACCGCTATGTTAAGCCCAGGACTACAACAACAATACTTCCAAAATGTGTACTAAAACCAATCTAAATAGGTCGCCGAATCCAGTAGACTCCCCCAGGAAAATAAGAAAGGTACCCCACTTAACCTCTAGGACTTCGACAATAATCCTGAGTAGCAGGGGATTATACTTGCCTACAACAGTGCACTCAACTCAATACGAATTAGTATTAGTATAATTCCAAAATGTGTGAACGGCTCCATAAGACGCAATGTTACAGGTGTATCCGAGATACCGGTCTGCGGGCGACTGTATCTCCGAGTAAAGCGGTCTAACTTGCTTTGTTGCCCTTTATATCCGATAACCAAAAAAATACCGCGAGGTTGCAAATTTATAAAATCGACGTAGGTAATTGATCAAATCAAGCGGCATTAAAACTTTCTCATCTGCTTTCTTCAAACCAAAACGAAAACGGATGTCTCAATTAAAACCAATTTTACGTCGGCAACATTTCCAAACGTAACGTAACGTAAGCTGGACGCTAAATATTACCACCCCGCTATTATAACTTTGCAGGAGCCGATTTAATTACGTATAACAATACTCGCACGGTTTAACGCGATTTTCTTTTTTTATGATTAACGCGATCTCTATTGTAACTCGATTCGCATTAATTTTGTTGTTCGCCTTTCGGATTTTAGCGCCGATGTGACGTAGCTCTGCGCTCCTAACGCGCAATTTCGTCGGCACAATCTTCGTGGTTCATACTTAAATGCCCTCTGGGTATCTCTCTCGGCGTAATCCTCACTTTTTTCAATTTTTCAAATACGCTTTTAAAATGGTTGCTAATCGGTTCCATTGGCCGTCTTTATTCGTTCTACTAATTATTCATTTACTTTTACCAATTTTACCAATACCCATTTTTATAAAAGCAAAAAAAAACCTTTAATTCGGCGGTTCACATGCCTTGCGTACTAGCGGATCTGAATCAGTCACATGCAACCCATTATGTTTGTCTTTATGACGCGACAGATTGGCTCCACCAACTTTTAATCGACCAGAGTTGTTATAGTTTATAGTGACTATTTTGAAGTACTGCCAAAATATTTTGTTGGAAGGTATTTGTTTATTGCATAAACAGTAGAATAAGTGTGTAGGGGTGAAGGACCTTCATTTTCATGCCTACTTTATGTCAGGAAATTTTCGTTTCCCGACAGTGGCAGTAACACTTTACCTGACTACTTTTCCTGCTTCCTGACACTTTGCCAGACTCCTGTATAAAAAAAATACAATTTCCTAACTTTTATGTAAATAACTATTCATTCATATCTAGGCAGTTAAACATCCCCTCGTACCAATATCTATAAAATGTAAACAGGCAACAGGGGTAGGGAAGATATGAATTTATTAATAACAGTAGAAATCTCATTAGGTAATGATTATTAGTCTCTCATTTATGATAAATTCCATTCGACGCAAAATAGAGAGACAAAGGTAAATATTGTAGATACATAGCGATCAAAAATCAGTGACTGTCGAGTTACCCATTTTTGTTAACATGGGAAATCGTACTTAACTCAAACTTCCAAAGGCGACGCGACAGTCACTCATTTTTGATCGCCCGATAGATTATGTACCGGGTGACCCAATAAGACCGTTTCTCGCCCATATCTCAGGAACCGTTTGTCGTATGACTTAGGGGTAAAAAAAATTATTGGGTAAATCGGTTATGAAGAATCGCTGGAAAATATTTTCAAGTTCTAAAAATGGCCACCAGAGGGCGTAACTGCCATCTTAAATTTTAAAATTGCGTTTTCTTTAAATTTCGCATAATAAAGTAAACATTCTTTTTTCACATTTTTTAAGAGAACCAGTTTACCTATCATTTTCGTAAAAACAAAAACTCAGTTATTTCAAATACAAAGATGGCGTGGGGCGTTTAATTGTTTTCGCAATAACCTGCTTTAACCGTTTGACCGATTTTAACAAATTTGGTATCGTTGAAAAGAGCATTCCTTGGGCAACAAGAATCAACCAACCAAAATATAGTTAATTTAGTTGAATCCTTCTCCGCCAGGGGGCTAGTTTTGACACTATGATACAAAATCCTAAAAAAATCAAAAAAATCAAATGGAATGATATGACTTTTTCTTTATGAAAAAGTAGCCAAATAACACCCAAAGAGGCCAGTGAAAACCGTTTTTCAAAATCTCGTTCCTAACCTCAAATATTGGGAAAATGAGATTAATTAATAAAAATGTTTAAATTGTATCTTATTTGACGTATTTCCGGTATTTGTCGATGGCGCGAAAGATTGTTTGGAAAAGGACCCTACACTTTTAGGTAGGCCTTGGAAAATTAAACAAATGGAACACGATGTATTATAAAATAATAACAGCCCTAATTTGTAAATTATTCTGCTGTGCTTACATTCAGAAAGGGTAGTTTTTTGAATTTGTAATCTTTTCTAAAATGCCGATTTCTAACCAAGAAGCATTTAATATGCTGGCGACGATGGTTCGTGGTCGATTCGGATAACGCAAATAGAAGATGTGGGCAGCGATGGTCGCATTTTGAAAATACTCAAAATATATCGCCAGCATATTAAATGCTTCTTGGTTAAATCGGCATTTTATAAAAGATTACAAATTCAAAAAACTGCACTTTCTGAATGTAAACGCACCAGAATAATTTAGGTACAAATTACGGCTGTTATTATTTTATAATGCATCGTGTTTCATTTGTTTAATTTTCCAAGGCCTACCTAAAAGTGTAGGGTGCTTTTCTTTCACCCTATCGGCAAATACGTAAAAAGTAAATTTGATACAATTTAAGCATTTTTATTAATTAATTAACTAATCTCATTTTCCCAATATTTGAGGTTAGGAACGAGATTTTGAAAAACGGTTTTCACTGGCCTCTTTGGATGTTTTTTGGCTACTTTTTCATAAAGAAAAAGTCATATCACTCTATTTTTTTTTTATTTTTTTTAGGATTTTGGGTCATAGTGTCAAAACTAAATTAACTATATTTTGCTTGATTCTCATTGCCCAAGGAATGCTCTTTTGAACGATACCAAATGTTAAAATCGGTCAAACGGTTAAAAAGTTAAAGCAGGTTATTGCAAAAACAATTCAATGCCCCACACCATCTTTGTTTTTGAAATAACTGAGTTTTTGTTTTGGCGAAAATGATAGAGAAACTGCTTCTCTTTAAAAATGTGAAAAAAAATGTTTAATTAATTATGCGAAATTTAAAGAAAATGCAATTTTAAATTTAAGATGGCAGTTACGCCCTCTGTTGGTCATTTTTAGAACTTGAAAATATTTTCCAGCGATTCTTCATGACCGATTTACTTAATAATTTTTTTTACCCCTAAGTCATATGACGAACGGTTCTCGAGATATGGCCGAGGAACAGTCTTATTGAGTCACCCGGTACATATGTATATGTATAGGTAGGATGCGACAAGTTTTTTTCTTTCTTTCTTTTTCTAATTTTATATGATTTGGGGTAACAGCTTAATACACGTTTGGTGCTCATAAATGTATAACAAAAATCTACATAGAAATCGTTACAATTTCCTATTTTTGTGCCTATGGAATGTAAATTTAAAAAAAGGTCGTTCGCCAATGATGCGTTAAAGGGCTACAATTCAAATCAAATAAGCCGAACACAAAAAAATTGTGTTAAATGTAAAAGATACAAAAATCGATGTATTAAAACGAGCCTGAACACGGTGGTATATTTGAGGTATCACACAAACCCTAATGGCAGGGTTAAACACATCAAGTAGTGTACATTTTTCACTAAACCTCACCTACATTCGAGTACGTTACACAATGAAGGGAAGCGGTAATTTAAAAAGCGCACGGCCGGCTCGATTACATTCTAAACCAAACTATCATTCAAAACGTTGTATGTTGTTACAACAGACAGTGAATAAATTGAAAACGCTACAAAGTGTATGTGTAATCGATTGCTCTTACATTGTGAACCGAGTTATGCGCTGCTATTGGACCAAAGGATTATTGGTTCGGTTTTGTTTGCAATTGGGCTTTGATTTTAAATGCTGTTTGTTCTGGCGGATTCTGACAGAAGCTTTTCTGAATTTTTCTCCTTCGCGGGTAATTAATGTAATTTATACATATTCGGGCCTTTCACGTCGCTTAGAAATTGCGTTTGTTGTAAGTAATTGCAATCCCTCGGAATTTGATATATGCATACGCTTTACGTTAAAGGAGAGCGGATTGTTTGAAGTTTTTTTTTTACGTTTTTAATTATATTCTAAACAAACAAACGCGCAACCCCCCGGTGATAAGCCGAGGGTGAGGTGAAATAAATCACCGACCGGGAAATAGAGTGTAAAATGTCAAGTAAACAGAAAATTGCGTGTGAATTTCGTAATAGTGTGCATGTCGGTGTTGCAATAAAGGAAGACAATAGAGGCGGCAGTTTGGAGAGAGTATATTGGTAGCATCGGTGGGCGTCACGCGAACGTCGCGGTGCTGGCGGCGGCTGGCACCGGGTCGCGGTCAGGCAACCCGGCCGACGGTTAGCCACGCTTAACCCGCGACCTCCGGCATTCCGCATAAGTGTTAACTACCCGTTCGCTAGCTCGTGGTTGACGCTTATGGTTGACCCAATACCACATGCCAAAGATGCGGATTGAGTTAGTATATTTAATAGGCCGAATTGTAATTCAAGCTCGAATAATACTTATCGACGTTTCTGTTTCGTTGCAGGTAAAAGTTTCACCTTGACGATTATGGTCTCCACGACGCCTCCGCAAGTAGCCACGTATAACAAGGCGATTAAGGTGACGGTCGACGGACCTAGAGAACCCCGCTCTAAAACCAGTAAGTAAAAGCTAATATTTCACCCTTTCAATGCTGTAACTTAGTGAATTTGATAATTTCTATTCTTAGGCACAGTTTTTGCACCTTTACACAAATCTCCAATTTTAATAAACCAAGTAAGGACCCGACAGTGTCTTCGTACTATGACACGTCTAATATTACCTGGTAAGGTTACCAACTAACATTTCCAGCTACGTGACGTCATCACGGATATGCGTTTCATCTAAACGTACTCCCCTAAAAAAATCAGCAACGAACTGTGGTTCGTAACTGTACCAAAGACGTACAGAAATAGCTCTAAATATCTGCTAGTGACACATTCGGACCACCGTACGCACGGACGGACGGATAAAGTGATCACAATAGCGCATATTTTTAATTTTTGTGGAAATGCGATAAAAAGTGAAAGAATTAAAAAAATTGTAGTAGTTAGTAATTTGAAAAATATTGTTGTGAGACCTAACCTACACTTCTGGGAATCCCACGATTTCCCTCTAGCTAGCTCGGTTGTAATTAAAATGAAAACAAAATTTTTATCCGCATCTCAAGGTCCAGCTGGATTCTGCCACCCTACAGCATTCCAACAATGACATAAATAGGTGGCTTAACCAAATCCTTAAATTCCAATATGAAACTTTACCCCCAGATTTAATCAACTTGAAACAAAGTAAGAGACGCCGACAATTACCTCTCCTTGACTCTAATAAACAAAACCTGGATTGCAATGACTGGTTTAATTTCAAACAAAAAATTGCGTAAATTTCTGTTTTACAAATTGTTACAATTTTAAACAGATAAATGACACACACAAAAAAAAACAAATTACTCAAACATTACAAAAAAAAAGACATGACAAAACAAACCACTAACTACTACTTACTTTTAAAATTTGTCCGAGTAACGTACTCTGATAAAAAAAAAAGGTATCCGTACACGATCACGCAAACCAAACACTCAAACACCGACGTCTTCTCTCTTCGGGTACCCACAAATTCAAAACTTCCGTGTTTCCGCAAAATAAAACAAAAAACAGAACGGCGACAAACTTCTTAAACTTTTCAAAAATTCTTCTTAAACGGCAAACAAAAATTCTAATTAAACCTGGATCCACTACGCAAGAAACTTCCACAAAATTCAAAAAATAACGTAACCGAAGAAGCGGCGGTTGGCTTTGTAACGACCAAAAAGCCCCGCTCTCTTCCAAAATTTTCTATTTAAGCCAAAAGCCCTTCTCCTTTCTTCAACATCCCGTCCGCCAATCACGCGAAGCGTCGATTTTTCAACTTCTTGCTAAACGGCACGTACGCCCGGCAATTCTGCGAAGACAACCTTATCTCTACTTCGCGCTATACCTCGTTAACGGCAAATAAAATTTAAAAAGAAATTTACATCGAAAAAAATTCTAGGAATAAAATAAAAACAGAACACTTCTAAGAAATTGAACCAAAACTATAACATGAAATTTACGCAATCCTGTGTCTCAAATTATTAATAACCCCCCCGGTTAATTAAATGAACTAAACAAAATTGTCACATCCAGACGCTCTATAATTTCTTTCAAGTTACAACTAAAACAAAATAACACAACAATATATACAGGGTGCTTCAAGATACCCAGGAAAGGTACTACGATTCCAATTGAAAAGTACACTTAGTGGATGAAACCAAGTTTAAGAACTTCAAAATCTTTTATATTACATAAATATTTTAGATCAGTGGTTCTCAACCGGTGGGTCGCGAACTTCAGGGGGGTCTCAGAATGTGTCCCAGGGGGTCGCGAAATGCAAGTGAAAAATCATATAATTTAATTTAATAAAGAAACACAAACATTATACATTACTTTGTGCAATACAGCTAATGCAATACTTGAACTTGTTTGGAATCAACTATTGCAGATGTTTTTGTTATATATTTAAAAAAATTTAATTCCTAGGGGAGTCGGCAAAATGCTCAATTCTAAAAAAGGGGTCGGAGTGTCTAAAAGATTGAGAACCACTGTTTTAGAGTCAATGAAGAACGACAGTTGCCTACCTATGGTCACCAATATTAAATGATACCATTTAATTAATTTTTTTATTTAACTTGTATAAATTTCAAATACAACATGTGCCCGACAGATACCTCCTGCTTGAAATCTTAGGTGTATATACATTCTTGGTCCCAGTAAGAACCCTATTGAAGGCCAAATGTTGTTTAAGTTAAGTGAGTCAACGTAAATGTTCATATAAATGCTTCTGTAGGGTTCTGCAACAGTGCGTTGGTCTTTCCTAGCTCATACCTGGTAAAAAATATCGAAAATCCTTTTGTGCAAATATCAACTCTAGATGGTTGCGCATCTACGGAAATTATTTTTGAATGTACAGTCCCATTTTTACTGTGTCAATAGAACTGATCTTTCTAATGGAACACCCTGTATATTTTTAGTTGTTTCTATGCCATTTTTAAGCTCTCCATTGAAATCTATTAATTTTGTGGTTTTTGGTTAATGTTATCGAATGATTAATTTTTTCTGCCCATAAGCAAGCCCCACGTTGATAAATCGTAGCGATCTTGATTTTAAAGTTAAGAAATATATTTGATCAATAATGTCAATCTGAATAAAAGGAAACACTTTGGTAATGAGAAAATTGGATTTAGTGATACAGGGTGTTCACAAAAAATAGTTTCTTCTTTTGTTTTTTATTATCACGGTCTCCACCGGTTTATAAACAGGTAATGGTAATGTGTAACTATTTTTGTGAAAAATATTGAATAACCTAAAAACTACGGGGTTTAGGCACAGGACATCCCATATGAAAATTGAAACGCACACAAAAGACTATCGAATAGAGAAATAAAATAGTGGCAGTTCCATTTGAACAAAACATAGTTTTCTTTTATTCAGATTAACATTATTGTTTAGATGAATTTCTTCAACTTTAAAATTCTGATAATAAAAAACAAAAGAAGAAACTATTTTTTGTGAAGACCCAGTATCACTAAATCCAACTTGCTCATTAGTAAAGTGTTTTCTTTTATTCAGATTAACATTATCGTTCAAATGTATTTCATCAACTTTAAAATCAAGGTCGCTACGATTTATCAAAGTGGGGCTTGCTTATCGGCAGGCGGAAAAAAATAATAATTTGGTAACATTGACAACAAACCAAAAAGTGAGTACGTTTATCTGCAGAGGTTAAAAAATACCACCGAAACCACTAAAAATATACAGTGTTCCATTAAAAAGTCAGTTGTCTATTGACACCGTAAAAATGGGACACCCTGTATATTCAAAAATAATTTCTGTAGATGTGCAACCATCTGTGGTTGACATTTGCACAATACGTTTTTTGATATTTTCTACCAGGTATGAACTAGGAAACACCGACGCACTGTTGCAGGACCCTGTACATAGACTTTTATGACGTAATACAAAGACGACAATTTCAAGTTCATACAACAAAGTGCCCATTTCGTATGTTATACTGAATTAAATGTGCGTCCATATCGGGATCAGTAATGCATCGGAAGCGTGTAGACTGTAGGTAGATTAAAAGTGGTTAGGGAACTTTTGAAACCTTTAGAAAATGTTTAGGAAATTTTGGGAGTATATTAAAAAGTTCAAAAAATTTTGGAAATGCATCTTAGGAATACTTGAACGAGCTTACATTGTAGAAGTGTTTCAGAATGCTTAAATTTTTCTGAAATGGAAATCAGTGGGAAGGAAATTTTCAAAACGTGTAAGCTATTGGAAATTTAAAAAAAGTAACCAAAATTTCCTTGACGTTTTACGTTTAACAAAATGTTGGAAATGTGTAAGAAATTTGGAAATGTTTAAGGAAATTTCAGAAATTTTGTAAGATATAGAAATATTTTAAAAATTGGAAAAGTGCACGAAATTTTGAAAATATTTTTCGAATGGTTAAGGAATTATAAAAATGTTTCAGGAGATGTTTCGAAAAAATGTTGGAAACGTTTTATAAACATTGAAATTTGTGCGAAATTTTGGATATCTCAGGAAATGTTGGAAGATGTTTTCAACAATTTCGAAGGTGTTTTAGAAACACAGAAAATTTTAGAAATGTGTAAAACGATATTTTGGGAAAGTTTGGAAAAATTAAAAAATATTTCAGAGTGATGGAAATTTGAGGGAAATGTTTCTGAAATGTTTCAAGTTTTGGATGTATTTATTAACGAGCTCCTATCGAGTTTATAATTTTGCGATGTCCGTCCGTCCGTCCGTTAACACGATATCTCGTAAACGAATCGACCGATGAAATTTTGCAAGTGGAATCTTTATCAAATTTGTAGATCGGAGTTCGTGAAATGAAAATGTAGGCCAAAAAATAAAGAAGGCCTTTTTGATATCTCCGTTAGTTATGAACCGAATTGCATGAAATTCAATATGCGCATAGCTTTAGCCATATAAAACGCAATTTCAAAAGTTGAGCCTAATCGATCAGCATTGACAGTGCCCTTTGCGCATCTCGACCATTTACAAACCGAATTGCAAACTTTCTTATTTATAGAGAAATTTAAATGACATTTGATGAATAGCCACTTGGAATAAAAGCAAATGTATCGCCAGTTTCCAAATTTGGTTTTGTGCATAACGTGCAGTTCCAACTTTCTTATTTATGGATGCAATTACATTATATTTCATACATATACACACGTTTATTTATTGTAATATTGACGCCTACAATGTACACTGTACGCCCATGGAAACAGATAAATACGAATACGAACACGAACATGAACACGAACACGAACACCCACACGAACACCAACAGAAAGACAAATACAAATTGTAACGAACCTTGCCTGCGTATAAGTGGCACGAAAAATTAAAGAATCATTAGCGGAATAATAATTGCAATTTAATTTGAAAGAAAAAGTAATAAATTAAGCTGGGTGTTCAGGCGGCGGAACGTGCGGACGCTCTTACGAACTCGAGCGCCACCAAGCGTACGGCCTCGCACCTGGTTGAGGTCGGCGCGGCGGTAGCAGCGGTCTAGCGC